GTGTGTGTGTGTGTGTGTGTGTGTGTGTGTGTGTGTGTGTGTGTGTGTGTGTTCATCTGTCCGGGTGTTTCAGCTCGCTAGCCACTCAAACTTTGAAGCTGAAATTCTGCCAGTGTGTTCCCCAGCCAGGTACTACTCCAGGATCGCACTTTCAACCCTCACGGACGTCTGGGCCCCGCGTACGATCACGTGAAAGTTTTGGCGCGAAAATCGCTAACTCGGGAACGAGAAAAGCTAGAAAGCTGAAACCTTGGGAGAACGTTCCCCACCCGTATACGACAAAAAGATTTCAAATTCAGCTGCCCAGGACTGCCCGCACGTGAAAGTTTTGCGCGAAAATCGCTAACTCGGGAACGAGAAAAGCTAGAAAGCTGAAACTTTGGACGTACGAGCACGTGAAAGTTTTGGCGCGAAAACTGCTAACTCGGGAACGAGGAAAGCTAGAAAGCTGAAAACTTGGGGAATGTTCCCCACGCGTATATGACAAAAAGGTTTCAAATTCAGCTGCCCAGGACGGCCCGGGACTCACGTACGGACACGTTATTCATGTATGACAAAAAGATTTCAAATTCGGGGCTTACGTACGGGCGCGTGAAAATTATGGCGGGAAAATTCATAATTCGAGAATGAGAAAAGCTAGAAAGCTGAAACTTTAGGGTAATATTCCCTTCTAATGTATGTCAAAAGATTTTAAATTCAGCTTCTTAAAACCAAAAGATTTCAAATTCAGCTCCAGTACTCATGCACGGACACGCGAAAATTTTGATGGAAAAACTGATAACTCAGGAACGGGAAAAGCTGAAGGCTTTAATTTTAAGGGAATGTTTCCTGCTCATGTGCGACTAAAAGATTTTAAACTTAACTCTTCTAGTGTGGCCTTTTTTTGCGGGTCAGCAGACTTCCATTTGTCGGGTCAATGAAGTCGACATCTACAACTGACATCCCACATAGTTACACAATTAACTTCCCGAAATTCGAGGGCCAGTATTTCACAGGGTTAGCTACTTTGGTTCCTTGCGATCTTGCCACGGCAAGAAAAGTGCAAAAACGCATAATCGCACTGGTCCGTCTGATTTTCATGCATCACGCATAAGTGCTTAAAATAAACAATTTTTAAAGGGACAACTGAAATTAAGCATTTCAGAGCGGCGTTGGGAACTTTGTAGTGCCATTTATCATTTTCTTCTTTATCGGACTCACTGTATCATTTGGCTTAACAATGCTCCACATGCCGATGACCAATATGATCATGGACTACGTGAAAAGACGAGAGCGAATAAAAGACGAAAAGAAGGAAGCGAAGCAGAAACTGAAAGAAATGGAAGAGCAAGAAAAGCAGAAGGAGAAAGAGGAGAAAGAAAAGAAGGAAAAGGGAAAAACGTAGCAAAAAAGATCTAAGGGCGATCACTGTTGAATTTGAAATATTCTGTAATTTTTCATTAATTTTGTTCCAACTTTCTTTCCTGCTAGAGTTGATCTTGGAATACTTTGTTTCTTGGTTTTCCCCTCCCCAATAAACATTCTTACTTTGTTCCAGCCCCTCTACTGAAGTCGGTGGATATTTGCACCTATTTTGTACTTCCCAGCTAATTTTAGTTTCTCCCAAACAAATTTTAAGCCGCTCTGCCTAGATTCCGCATCCACCGCTTATATTCATGTTCCTCTCCACTCAATTTTTCGAAATTCTTAGCCCCATGGTTTTAATTTAGTCTTTCTAGTGGCAAAATAGTGGCAATTGCGTTCACGACATGCCACTATCTGAGTCAAATTTCACAACCTTTCGAAATTCAATTATAAAAAATTGGCTTTAAATGCTTTATCCTGTCCTTCTACTGAAGTCGATGGATATCTGCAGCCCAAGCTCTTTGTCTGACCTCCAAACCAGTGAAAGTCCTAAAATTGGACCCTGTGGGCAAAAGTTCCATGTGTAATAAGCGGTAATTTAACATCTGCACAAATGGTAATGATTTTCGTGTGCAAGAGTTCAGTAAAGAAATCATATAAAGTCCTAGAGGCAGTTGAAATTCCTATTTCCCAATATCGGAAAGGTTTAACTCCTCTTAACGTGAGCCCCTGAGGAATGACGGTTGTTTCTGACATATTGGACTGCGCGGAGGCAGCTGATAACACAAATGAAAGGAGATGAAGGAGCGAGGGTCAGGAAACTAGAATGGAAGAGGTGGAAGATGTGTGGGTGCGGGGTGCGAAGAAGTGGGAGGCGAGGGAGGGGAAAACAAGCCATCGGAGGCTAAAACCGTAAGTGTAAGGGGGAAAAAGATGGGTGACTAGTTCACACTAAGCAGCTGACATAACCACGCTTTTTGACTAACTGTGCATGATATACTGGATGAAATGTATTTGGTGTTGTTCAGCTGGCCCATCAGAACTTAGAATTTGTTGTCTGCTTCGTGTTGAAGCTGTGATATTCGTTTAAATGTTGGCCAAAAAGAACTGCCATCCGGAAGCTAACTCAACGTCAACCATATCGAGTAATGCTGTAGAAGGTAACTTCAGTGTCTGAAAACTGTGTCTTAGCGCTATTTGAAATTTTTTCTGAAAAATATTTTTTGAAAAATTTTTGAAATTCTGAAAACTGAGAAAGAAAATATAGTTTTTTCAGAAAATGCAGGATACGGACACTGCTAGCAAGCTCGTTACTGCAGATAAGCAGCATGGGTCGGGAGAGAACTGAATTCTTCACTGCGACTACCTCGGGATTCCACGCACGCTCTGTGCTGCTAGTTCAATACCTCACCACTTTTTATGAATGCCTTATTCCAGTCCTGTCCGCGCAACCCTCACATTCGAATTCACTGTGAAGGATAAAGGCACGACCATCTTCACCAAAAATTTTCAAGACCAGCATCTGGGCGAACTACCGTAGAGATGGCCAAGCGCAAATGTGACGACCATTCCTTCCAGGACAGAGCTAGAAGGGATGGCTATCACATTTGCACTTGGCATATGCCAAGCGCATAGCTCCGCACTTTTTTCCAGGTGACCACCAGAGCGGCAGAAAAAGGAAAGGGTGTGGTGATTGTCGAAACTACCGAAGCTCAGTAGACAACCCGCCAAATTACTTGCACAATAAGTAGCTTTATTAAAACAATCTTCATTCGCAGATCGCTGTGTCACCATACAAAATCTACTGATGGAGTGGCTCCTATCAGAAACATGTCTCGCATTTTTTCATTACAGTACGATAAAAAAGAAAAAAATAAAAAAAAAAATAATATACATTGTTGCTCTGAAGAGGGTAAAAGCTTATGCACAGTTGTGGTGGAAGCGATATGGACAGGAAAGCAAGATAAGAGTGAAAAGCAAGGCACAAGCAAAGTTAACCGGACTGCCACTTAACAATGAGGTAAAGGAATGCAATAACAACAGCAGTCTTGCTGGTGTGCACAGCATAACGGGAAATAGTAGAATCAAACGGAAGTAAAATTAAGCCATAGAATTTAAAACGTCTGCTCATTTCCTGCACATATCCTAATTAAAAAATTTTTTTATGTTTTCATACAAAGTTTAGTCATTTTAAAGCCAGTGTTCCCGGTTTTCGACTTGTCTTGATAATACCCAGTTGTTCCTTATAATAATACGGGCATAATTTTTGGCCGTGATTGACCTCTTACTCATTTAACTTTCACTTTCACCCCCACTATCTCCCCAACCTTTTTCCTGCATGTTTACTTCACCCTTACATCTTTTCCTGCCCCCTTCCTTCCTTCGATTTCCCATTATTTTTCCTTCCACAAAAACGGTCTGAACAACTCTTGAGCATAGCACGGGGCAACTGTCTTCTCTTATGTTTCATACACCAGTGACACCTAGCTATTACAGTATATGGAGAAACCTATAAAAACCAAACCACACTTCTTAAAGCAATCTTCTTCCCACAGGCGATCCGGGACGGCCTCTTCGGGGGAAGGAGGGAGGGGGAGTGGAGCTTCTGGCATAACAATGACTGGGGAGGAGATGTAAAGTAAGTCTACTGGTGGGGCAATGAACGCGAAAGGCGGGAGATGGAGGGGAAGGGAGGGAAGTGACGCTCTTTGGGGGGCAGGGGAGGGAGGAAGGGCAACGAGGGTGTGGAAGAGAGTTTTCTTCAGTTTTAGCACTGCTACCTGTACCACTGCGTGGGGCGGGGATGGGTCTTTCGCCCTTCCCTTGGATCTGCCAGTGCTTCTTCGCGATATAATTCCTGAAGCCGCTTTGCGTCCTTGATCTTTACTCCGCCCCCATCCAAACAAAGAAATAAGACATACACAGCTTTGTGGTCTACATATTCGCGAAACACTGTTTATTCATTACACGTACATCCAATAAAAACAGTGTCGCGAGCCAGTATTTCGTGCACACGGATCAGATACAGAAGGGCAGGTAGTAATCATACTCAGACATCTATGTGGCCGTATATTACGAGAAAATTTTCAGGAGAAGTCGTGCAGTTTCGAATACATAAGCAGTAATTCGCCAAGACAGTATGGTTTTCCACCAAAGAGTTGGTACTCCCCTGTCGATTCCTCGTTGTTTTCATTTGACTTATTGTCCTAAATAATATACTGTTTTTAGAAGTTTTTACGGAGAATATGCGACAGTACTCAGCTACAACGTAACAAGCTATAGAAAGTGAATGAAGTAATAGGCATAATGCCGATATTTTGCTAAATCATTGGCGACGCGCATTAGGTGGGCCCTGTGCGATCATGCGTTTTTGCAGTGTTTCGTGCTGTAATAAGATCACTCGAAGTTTCGCCAGCTAGAAACCTCTTGTACATACTGGTCTTCGAATTTCGGAAAGCTAATTATCTAGGCTATACTTGAACAAGGAAAATTCCCTCGAAATCCCAGGCTCCCAGCTTCCTCAGTTCCTGAGTTACCCCAATTCCAGCCATAAAATTTTACGGGGCTGTACGTGGCAACCACGCATGACGAGGCGATGAGTTTAATAAATTTAAGTTGTAAGTGAGTTAGGAACATTTCCTGAAAGTTTCAGCCTCCCAGCTTCCCTGGTTTCGAAGTTAGCCATTTTCGCGCCAAAAATCTTCACGGGGTCGTACATGGCAAACAAACATTATGGGGGAGGGGGGGGG